GGTATAAAATGTCACACACTGGTTGACTTTGATAAGACATAACACTTTGATTATATTTGCCCCTACAGAAAAAGGGGATTTATCTTCAGTATCTGGTAAGTATGGGTTGATGTATTTTAGCTGTGGGAATCAAGCCTTTCCCACTCTCTACTACTGTAGGTGCCTCAGGTATTTCACAACACCGTGGAAGGCAGCCACTTCCCTCAGCAGCCCTGTGTTTTCTTTGCAAAATTACAGCAATAATAGTGGGAGGTGGAAATTAGGCTGTGAGACTTCCACGCTCTATTAGTTAATAGGAGTGTCTCAGCTCTTTGCTCTAGCTTCTTCTGGGATGTGCAGTAACAGCAACAGGATTGTAACAGGGGAACATGCCCTTCTAATGCCCATATGAATGGTTTATTTGCTAACCCAAAGAATTAACATTACTCTGGTTCTATTTCCAGAGAAGCTGGTAGCCTACTATGTAACATGCTCGTGCTTTGCATTGGGAAGTTGGGCTGTTGGCCTGGAGTATCATGAAGAGTTAACTAATCTGTTCATTTTGTGTTGTGTGAAATGTCTCTTTCTTTCCAGCATGCAGAGGTTCACAAAGCAGATAAACAAAGTATTTATAGTATTGCTGGAGCCAAGAACATCAAGAAACTGAAAGAGGAAGGACTTGGTAGGAAGAGGTAACATCTTTAATTAGATCAACTGACATCACTGGAAAAAAAATGGATGATGTTCCAGCACAGAAGTTCTTCTTATTCCGCAAATGAGGTTGAGAGCCCCTAGAATTGTCTCTGTTTGCTCAAGCTCTGTCAGATGGTGCAACAAAAGTTGTTATCACTCCCTTTAAATGCCAGCTCTCTTATATAGGAATTGTCCTCCATACTGTGAACCCAGTTGCAAACATCCTTCCCCAAACCATGACTTGAAATAAAACCCTGTCTCACAGCTGCTCTTCTTTCTACACCATCTCCTCTTGGGGCTAAGCTCTATCCACATAAAAACATTCACTAATTGGCTAACAGCTTTAAATCTGATGCTGCACAGCCCTGCTTGATTGCTGCTGGGAAATCTCATTTCCAACTCCAGACTTGGGATCCCTTGGCACTTCTGCAACATCAGGCCTTGTAACCTCAGCCTGTCTCTGGTCCCAGTAACCTTGGTCCTTAAAAATACTCACAAGCAGGTGGGTTTTTAAAAAAAATAATATATTTTCAGTTTTCACCTTTCCAGCTCTGCATATGCTGGGGAGATTCTTTTTCTCCATCTGCCACTAGATGGTATTGCTTCAGCAGGCACTTCCCAGCTGCTCTTCACCCTCGCTGAGATGCAGATCCCCCCAAAAAAGGGCCCTTGGCTCTCTGGTGTTGCAGAGCACCCCATCCACACAGCTTCCATTCTCAGCCCAAATTTCCAGATGTGCTTACTGCATCAGATGAGCCCAAATGAACCAACTTCAGCACTTTCACAACAGGTTGCTTTTCAATGCTACTTTAAATGTTTTACAGGCAGGCTGCAAGGTGATTCATGGGCACCAGCTGAAGGAGCTGCAGCAGGAGTGAAGCTGAGGAGGAAAAGAGAATGTTCCAAGCACCTGGAGGTGCATGGCCAGAGTTAACAGACTAACAGGATTTCTTGCTGCATTTGTTGGACAAAAGGAGTCCTGTGACTGGCAGGTAGTCCTCTCCACAGAGCTCACTGCTGGGAGCTGGGATGGTGTCCTAGGAAGGGAATTGCTCTGTACAGGCTGTATTTGTCATATTCTTCAAGTATTCCCTGGTGATTGTTGTTGAGAACAACATCTTAGATTAGCAGATCTCTGCTGTCAGCTAAATTGGCATCTTCTTGTGCTTGCAGCACAGCTTCTGCTTAAGAGCAAGTTTTATATGGGCTCCATAATTCAGAATGTAAGACAGGTCTGTGGTCTGCCTGAAATCTCAGAATGCTGGATGTATAAAACCTGAAGCAAATGGACAAGACTTCATACACTCCAGATGTTTTAAAATAGCTGACACAAATAAAAAGGGTTCCTCACAGTGCAAAATTTTTCTAATCGTTTTGTATTTTCCCTGTGTGCTCATGAAAGAAAAGCAGTTACACAGACAGGAAATCATTCAGCAAAATTGTTATTAGTCTAGTAGATGAAAGCATCCGTGTGTTGAGATATGAAGTCCTTGTATATATTAAAAATTAATGACTTGGGCTTAAGCTTTGAATGATTTGCCACTTTCTGATGATTGATATGCATCTTTATGGTAAGTTTATATGATGTAAGTCTTATTCCACTTTTATATTTCTGAGGATTTTTGTTTTGTTATGAAACTGTCTTGTGTCATTGCTTTTCCTCCTGAGGAAATAAAGAGGGAAGTCAAACCAGAAGTGGAAGGAGCACCATGTATCTAAAGATTAAATGTTCACTGCACCTTTGTTCACATTTTTCAGTCATCTGATTTATATCTTAGCTATGCACTGATTTTTTTGCCAAATTAATCGTGTTCACCGAGTAATCCATACATAAGCAAAATTTGCTGACACATTTGGTTTGTAGTGAAAGTGTGACCCTGAGAGCCAGACTTTCCTCCATGGGCACTGAACAGCCTGAACTGCTGCTCCTTAAGAAAAACGAGGGAGCTGTTGGATGAGCTACGTTCATTATGGCTGGGGAAAAATAAGTGCTGCTAACAAAATTCACTTTCTTTCTCACAGGTACTGGAGAAAATATAACAAAAGGCCTTGCTGTTCACAGTGAGGGGAGAAAATTGGTGCTGCAGAACGTGTTGCTCCTTCCCTCCCACCTTTACACACACACTTGCTGCTGGTGCAGGGTAGTGTCCATTGCCTCCAGCCTGGGTGAGGGAAGCTCACTCAGAGTAAGCTCTGAGAGGTAAGCTCAGAAGCAGCAATTACCAAGAACAAGGTGCTTATTTCCTCATCTTACTCCTTGCAAGGGAAACAGACCTCTCTTCTATTTCCTCTCATCCAGGGTCATAAGTAGGAGGATGCCATGCTGGCCCGTGAGAGGAGGAAGAAGAAGAGGCCACCATGGTGTGCCATGTGCTGTGTGGCACTGCAGCAGGGAGCAGGGCAGAGGCCGCTGGGCTGCAGAAGCACTGGGTGCTGCAGGAAAACATGAGGGAAGAGTCATGTGTGGTGTTCGTGACTCACAGAATTAAGATTTGGCATGGCTGAGTGGTGAGATAGCCATGTGCTTTTACCATAAAAGGGGCAAATATGTTATTGCTGTGGCATATGAGATTCCATTTAATTGGCAACACTCCATTAAATGACCTCCCGAGCTATTGTTTGGGAGTTGCAATGCTTTGTGTTCCTGCTAGCTGTTCATTGAGAATGAACAATTAATTCCTCTGCAAATGAGGCTAATTGTATAGCACAGAGATTGTAAGACTCGGGTCTTTTGTTGAAAAGCTGGGTTCAAGTCCATCCCTTGGCAAGTATAGGGTCAACAGGAATGTGAACTGATGGCTTCGACAGAGCTTCATCCTGGAAATGCTTGGTGCTCAACCGGGCTCCAGAAGAGTAAAATCTGCCCAAGTCCTTCGTTTCCTGCTTGCAGCACCTGCTAATCACGTTGGGGACTGTTTATCTCAGATTTTGACCGGAATTTTCATCCTTGGCTGGAGGAGTTTTGACTAACTTCAGTGCCAAGAGAGCAGGAAACATGGAACAGAACAAACATCCCTTCTGACCGGACCACGCAGAGAAACTTTGCAGCTTCCCTTTGCGTAACGTCGGAGGCTCTGACAGCTTTTTTTTCATGTCCAGTGGCTTGTCGAGCGAGCTCATCCAAACGTCTCAAAACCGTCTCCTTTGTCACCACGCCCAGGCGCTTCCCACCTCCCCCGCCGGCGGGTGTTTGCAGCCCGCGGGGCCCCCGCACGGACCCCGGTGCCCCCGCACGGACCCCGGGGCCCACGCACAATGCGGCCCGGGTCCCGCCAGGCCCGGCCCGACGCGCCTCCCG